AAGAACGAACAAAATACCCATAGCATACAGGTTTTCACACCGCGTCATCAATACTTGGAACCTGCTGCCTGAAGCAGTGGTGTCCGCACCTTCAATTGACTCTTTCAAGAGAATACTGTACACTCAAAGAAGTATACTAGAAAAGGAATAAAATAGGCTGTAGGCCTTCTGTCCGTACTACACAAATCTGAATCTGAGCTTAGTTCGAATAATAACCTAAGGGGTAACACCCAGAAACTGGAAACTCAATATAGCAAGACGGGATGTAGACACAACTTCTACTCCTTAAGAGTTGTCAAAAGCTGGAATTCGCTGCCCGCCGAGCTAGTCCAAGCGACTTCTCAGGAGTCCTTCAAGAGGCAACTCGACCTATTCTTAAGGACCAAGGACAGTATCATACTATGATTTACCAATTTCTTTTCCTCTTTTATTGTTAACATACCTAGGTTCCTGCCTGGAGGATTTGGTGATCCCCTGCTACTAGACACGGAAGCCTGTTAAGCGAAAGCTTCTTCTATTCCGTCCACAACCATTTGAACCATTTGAAATCTTTGGTGCCTGTTTTAAAATACTTTAGGTGTAAACGCGTTCTCCAATTCATGATGGGATATGACAACAATAACTTAAAAATAAGGCTTGATAGCAATGCTGAGGTCTCTGCAGAAAACAAAAACGAATTTTATACGACTATGTATTCACAAGTAGAAGAGATAAAATCAAACATAAGGAACGTCGAAGAAAAACTTATCGAAATAAGTGGTACGTTGTCTTATTATTACTAATAATGGAGAAGATGATCTTTTTCGCATGTTTCTTAGAAACATGGAACGGCCAAGTCCGAAGCTTTTGGAGACAGCCATTGGTGCTGCTTCGCAGTTTGAAATTGTGAGAAAAATATGTAATGAACATCACAAAGTTATCTGTAAAAATAAATAACAAGTCGATTGGGGTTAGTCAGTGTTTAGAGAAAATTTCAGTATGGATGATCGACGCCTTTTAAATTTATTTACCGTGTAGTGCCGATGCAATCAATTGTTTTGTTCGTTCTCTACAAAATTGTGTCTGACCACTTTGCATTTGCCGAGTTGATGTATTTTGAATACAATATTCGAGAAATCTTAGTATTTTTACTAAATAGGAAGTTCATTTTCAGCATTTTTAGTTTAAATAGATAATAAGAGACATGAATTTGACTCTCAAATTCTTATTGTGATTCATTCGATAAATAGCATAAGGAAATATGTATTTTCGCTAATTGACCATCAAGTTTTACATCTACAACTATCTGTCCACAACGTATAACCTATTGCTGTTGTTGGCAGATTGAACATAAGTGTAGGCAAGTTATTGCGTAAAGTAATGGTGAAATTTGTGATAGATTCATAAAAATATGTTCTCGGAATTTTGAAAATTTGTCTATCTGGGGAGGCATAGGAATTATGAAACGAGTAAACTATTGAAAAGCTTGAGCAGATAATATGAAAAGCAAATTTAGTAATAACAGTAATGCAAATAAATAACAAGAGAATACAGATTTGGGTGAGTTTGATCGAAGGATTTTAATGCCAACTGCTCTTGAGATGCTTGATAACTGGATATGGATACGATTTCAAAGCTTCATAAAAACTCTTTGTTTAGCACTGCAAGCTGAGCTCTTATCGCTTTTATATTTCAAATGCGAAAGTGATAAATTTCAGCTAGACTTATCTAATCTTTGACTTGGTTATAGTAAACCACACTTGAGAACTTAACAGTGATTTTGTAGATGAAAATGAACCCACCATCTCAAGATAAATAGCGCTGTAAGCGTTTGACACTGATAATGACCTCACCGTTTAGACTGGACGCACTTTAGCTCAAGACATTCAGTCAAACATGTCCATCTTACTGCGAACACATTCATCCCTGACTTCTGAGTTGACTGGGTTGAAATCATTCAATCACCAAGGTGTTGCAGAATAAAGCGTTAACAAGAGCTGAACATCTGTGGCATACTTAAGCTTGTTGGGTCGTTTGGGCAATTTAGTATTTTTGGCGTGAGTAATCCAAAAAATGAATATGGAAATAGTAGAACCTGAATCCTTACTTGTATTTGCAGTACGCAGCATGCGTTTATATGATACATGGTGTCCATTGAAATATTGATTTACTTGTAACTCTTCTTAGTTTAGCTATTCAACAATTATTTCTTTTAAATCGACAGTTAAATGTAGCCTTTACCTAGTTAAAAGTTTGAAATGATTTTCAAATATGATTTTAATTGTAAAACCACATACCGCTTTTGACAATGTGTTCTGTTTTTTTATTGTCACTGTATGACTAACATTGCCTCCTATTTTTCTGTTGATCAGAAATCTATTGATGAACTACAGTGATATTCTTGTCTTTCGCAAGTAATTTTGATCCTTAAATGAGAGATATTTAACACTTTTAGGAGAAAATTGATAGTAACTTCTTTCACACTAAAAATATATGCGTTATTAATGCATTTTGAATGTAAAGACAGCTAATCAATAAAATTAGGCGATAACTAATTTTCTAATCCTGTCAGAAATTATTTTAACGGGAATCTCATTGGAACTGAAAACTGATGATGAATTTTATCGTCCACTTGGTACCCTGTTTCTGCTGACTCGTATATTAGGTTAACATCTGTGAATGGTTCACAAACGTAGCCGATAGTATGTATGAAAAGAACACTAGTAACCCAAAATCAATAGCTTAACTGTAAGTGATATATTTGGCCAACGAATCCCAAGTGAGACGAGAGTTTTAGATTTCACTGCTAGACATATTCCACTTATTCTATTTGAAAAAGTAATAAATGTAATATTCACAGTCAGGTCTAAATAAGTGTACTTAGGAATACTAGGCAACATTATTCAACAATATCCAAGACGGCTTTCATAAAGTGTAATTCCCGTAGTTGTGCATACTACATTCCAGATCAGTTTACTTGAGTTAATTTATGTAAACATTTCTCTAATAACAACACACAATACAAAAACTGATGTAATTTACGAGTTATAGCAGTATCTCAGCAACTCATCACTGTGGCTGTGAACCGGCATGTGGAAAACTTAACATTTAATGTGACAGATGACTTTGACAAATTTAAAAGTTTTTACATGATAATTTCTAATGAGCTCTTGAGATTTGCAGCACTCAGTTATGAATACTTAACTCTTTGTTGAACTGCCAACTACAACTACGGTATTGATGGCTTAAAACCCATGAAGTCAATTTTGAAACCAACGAAGTCTCTACTTATTTAAATATACACATAAGTGACCTTCTATGAATTTGAGATACCAATACAAAAGTGATAGACCAGTAGAAAAGTTTGTTAAGTGCCGTGACTGATTGTTCTTCAGTAACTATACATGGGATTTCAATAAAAGAATTTAGAGCTCTCAGTCATATGCTCATGTATCTTAATTCCAGTAGTCACTGTTTGAGAACTGAGTTAAACGGTGCTGTCGTCATAGAATTATGCAAGTCAAGAAATACTTATTTTAACAATGCCCATATATTCTGGTATTTCGACCTGTTCGTTAGATAATCTAATTACTGAGCATCCTTGAACATCGTGTCGTTCTTGATAATCTCATCGGCACCCACCTCTTCATGTTGAAGCATTCAACTGAGCTGTAAATCTTCTCCAACATTTTAAAAAATACGATGATAAATTATGTAAGTTAATTATATAAGCTTTAACATTAAAAAACAAAATCTCGGATCATCATTGAGGAGATATTCATTTCAACCAAAACTTAGTTTTATTCTTACTTAAAGTAAATACGAAAACAGAAAAAATTCTAAACTGAAATCATTCAAAATGAAAATAGAACTTGATAATTTAAGAAAGAAAACAAACACCATCAAACAAAAGTTAAAACCAAAAAACAAAACAGAATTAACTATTAACAAAATGATCATGTTATGGTCAAGATTCAATGAATTCAATTACGATTGATCACGTGAAGTAAACTGTAAGACAAAAGCATTTCAATACTAATTAATACTGATTTAGTAAGTAAATAACCAATATACCAACAACAACAAAAGTGGAAAGATCATGATCTCAATCAAAAACTTAATAATCTCCACAACTCCTATACTAGTAATCAACATGTGCTCACTAGTGACTAATTTCGTGAGGGAATTCTCGGAGTTCTAGTGAGAAGCCGTGACCAGTGGAGCTAATCCTTTTCAAGTAGAGACAGTTATCTACCTCAGTACAATGGAAGTTGGTCGAGCAATTTCGTGGATTGGTTGATGTTAGAAACTATCACCATTGGATGCCGGCTCAGTGGTCCAGTTGGTTAAGCGTTCGCGCACGAGACCGAAGGCCCTGGGTTCGAATCCCGTTCGCGGGATCGTGGATGCGCACTGCTGAGGAGTCCCACAATAGGACGAAACGGCCGTCCAGTGCTTCCAGGTTTTCAATTGTGATGGTTTAACATCAATTGGTTCATGATCTCAATCAAAAAGTGGAAAGAAGCAATAGCATCATTTAGATGACTACTATATTATATACAGAGAAATGCAATAGAATAACGATGATGGATTAGAAATTATAATTGACTAGGTGGAGTTTATCTGTTTGATCATCTCTACAAAATAACAACATTTTCTTTGATTTTGAACATGAATAAACAAGAAAGATATTGATGTGAATACGATGAAGAATCCAAATTACGTAGTTAAGAGAAAACTAAAATTTGAATAAGGAGAGGTGGGGAAGAAGAGGGATACAATGAAAGAATAGTAGCAAAGGTAAAGGCTAAAGGGTTAAAAAACAAGATGTAACTGAATAGATGCACACACAGAAAGAGGGGGAAGGGGGAAAAAGAATTTAAATAGAAGAAAGCACATTCTATGCAATTTAACCATCCAATTGATAATATGAACAATGAGAAGTTGAAAGAAACAAAACCATTTTGTCCAATTGTAACATTATTCACAACATTGTGTAATCATGATTAAATGAATCATACTTAATAGACCCATGTAACTGGTATCCATTGTGGAGTAATTTGAAAGTCATCGATTACACGTTTAAGTTGAATAATTGTTTCTTCAATATCATTGTTAATAATTTTTAAGTCGAAAAAATGACTATAATGTTGTTCTAATAATGCACTATCACGTGTTAATCTTTCAAGACTTTCATCCTATGGAGAAAAAAAGTGAACAAATTAAAAGCCTAAATGTTTCTGAGGGAAAATCAATGTCTATTATTATTATTATTATTATTATTATTATTATTATTATTATTATTATTATTATTATTATTATTATTATCAGTATGGGGTTGTGGAGATTAATATGTTTGTGATTGGGATCACGAACTGATTGATGTTAGATCACTGGCTCAATAACCTAGAGGTTAAATGTTCGCGTGCGAGACCGAAGGCCCTAGTTTCTAATTCCACGAGCGTGATCATGGGTGCGTACTGCTGAGGTGTCCCACAATAGGATGAAACGAATGTCCAGTTTTCCATAGTTTTGAATGGTGGTCTAACATTAATCGGTTCATGATGTCTATTATTATTGTTAGTGGTACTATACTTATAGTCTACAAAACATTCTAAAACACACGTCGTGGATTCCTCTGCTAGCCACTATCCATCTTTGCTTAGATTGCTTGTAAATTAAGGTAATATCGAGGCAATACGTACAATATGCACACATGCCAATACAAGACTGATCAATTTCAGTTTTTAACATCAATGGTAAGATTCAAGTAAAACAATGCCAAGTAAATTAATATTCATAAGATAATTACATGGATTTGTAGCTATATGATAATGTGATGTGTGCTACTGATGTCAACAGATATCAGTAGTGTGTATCATCCATCAAAAGTGAAATGTCTAGCAGCAGAAGGTTAAGAAGATCAAAGGAAAGAAAGCGAGAACAAAAAATGATTGGTGTGGAAACGAAGGAGCAATCAAGTCGGAGACGATTGACTGACACTTTGCAAATAAAGTATTTACTGAATGCTGCCCAGATTTTATTTTGATGCTCTGTAATTTTGTGTTCAAATACATTCGGTTGTGCCATTTTTTGTTCTCGTTCACTACAATGGGAATTTTAGTGCACTTTTTGATTTGAGTGGCTTAACTTTTTAAACAATATACTTATCAGTTTATACTTTTATAAAAAACGGTTTTCAGAATCCCTACACTATTAACAAAAATCTTATTCTGCCCACATTACATTGAATAGACTGTTTTCATTCCATGTGATGTCATTATATGTTCATTCATTTTGACTGTCCGGGATCAGGTTAAATGCAAACACGATTGTGAATAAATAATCGCTGTCGATATGGAAGCATGTTCAGCGTTTTCTTCAACCATATAAATTAACTATTTCTAAGTATCCCACCTCTCTAGCCTCTTCTACCCAAAAGGTCAAAGATTACCCAAATAGAAATGAATTGAAGCCTAATTATAGTGTAATAGCATTAAAATTTTTCACTGGTAGAAATCAGTATACATTTATGGAGACAGCTGAATTTTTTTTTGATCATGAACCGATCAATGTTTGCGCGGAATCGAAGGTTCTGAGTTTAAATCCCGTGTGCGATATAGTGGATGTACATTACTGAGGAGACCCATACTAGAAAGAAACGGTCACCCAGTGCTATAGAATTGGCCGATTCATGATCTCAAAAAATTACAAGAAACCTGAACTGATTGATCATTAACGAAAACATTAAAAATTCAGTGCTGAATTTTAAAGAAGGCATAATTGAAAAAGTTATAAATCTGTTTGTAAAAATGATATTACGCAACTCACATTATTATTGTTACCATTATTATTATTATTATTATTATTATCATCATCATCATTATTATTATTATTCTGTCCATTAGTGATATTAGTGAGAGTTGGAGCTGCAATAAATACAATACATGGAGCAAATTCAGCAGTACGTAATATTTTCAATGCTTGTGGTTCAACATCCAATATAACAATTAAACTAGTTGCATGTATTTGTCTTATTGTATCCAATTTTGTACCATACATTGCTCCTTCATGTGAACCATATTCTAAGTATTCATTATTAGCAATATCACGTATCATTTCATCATGTGAAATAAAATAATATTTTTTTCCATTCACTTCATCATTACGTGGTGTACTAGTTGTATCTAATTGTAAAATAAATATGAAAATATTTTATTGGAGATTTCTTTTTAAAAAAACAAATGACAATTATCCAATATCTATATGAAGAATTAACCATGTTGTTAATGCGTTAGGCAGTCAGTTAGTCAGCAGCAACGTAGAGCTACGTACGTACGTACATCAGTTCAAGTTGCCATAGCACATTAGCACACAGATACAATTGTCGATCCAAATCACACAGTGGTAGAGGTAGTAAACATATAAGCAGTAATCGGAAACATACGCGTTTGAAGATGTTATTCAAGGAGTATGATTCAATGAAATAAATTTGGAAACAGAAAAAATAAAAGGACATGAAGAATTCAGAAGATTAAAATTTGAGCGAACACAAAGAGTGGATGCACTTGCGCTCAAAGTTTATAATATTACAGTCAGCCATGTATAATGTAGGATCAGGTACATATATGTATCGATCCAAGTTGCCATACCTAATCAGCACAACAAGATGATCAGCAAATTCATAGAAGCAGTTACATTAATGATAGTGATATATAAAAGAAACGTTGTGTATCATGATATGAGACAGGGAGAATAAATTAGTTCATAGACAGAAAGATATAAAGTAATTTCAATCTCATAATTTAAGGGAAGACAAAGAGTGTATGCACCCACACCATTGTGATCGATTCTGAGCCATGTCACCTAGAATCTTCAACAATTGGTTGTAATAGTTGCATGCGCCCAAACCATGTAATTTGCATCATAATATTACAAAACAAATTCACTTATACGTTTTACTAAAATTATGATTAGATTATTATCAGTAGTACGAACGTCATCTTGGATACTTACAACAATTATTTAATATTTGGATTTAGTAGATTAGTGGATAATATGTTGACATTTAAAGCGAAGGTTTGAATCTGAGTGAAACATCATCAATTTAATATACATATATCCATCTGGTGAGTCGTATATAGAATGAAACTCGCCACCTTTTAACTTTAATATAATGATTTAATAGGTTTTAAAACTTTAATACTATGGTTGCAGATAATGGAAGTTAGTTTTCGATCGACTGTAATATTAATTAATTTAGTCTAATCTTAAAAATACAGACCGCTGGACTTCAGTAATACCTTGTTTCATCAATGGCGATGGATGATATTGTTGCTGTAAAGTCAGCTGATTAAAAGTGAAAACACTGAATCCCTTCTTGTCGACTCAATGATCTAATAATGACAAAAACTTGTGAATTTTAGGTTTAATCCCTAACGAGGTCATCAGCCTCATATTATCCTCATTCGTATTCCTCCATTGAAAGGAATGATAATTAAAGCAACCGACTTACAAACAATAAGTGTCAGGTTAGACCCAAGTCTATCCACATCGTTTCGGGTAATAAAAGAGTATGATGAGTCCTAATGGATGTTGAGTATCTTGCGTAGACATCTATTTATAAATACTCATACATCCTTGATGATGTTTGTAGTAGTTCTCCAAGTTTCAGCTCCATACAGTACAACTAACTATCTTGACGTTCGTATTGAAGATTCTGACTTTGATATTGGTTGATGGATAGTTGTTTAGAGTTTCATATGTTCTTCAATGGTAAGGATGCGGCCCTTGCTTTGCCAATCCTCGCCTATACATCTGCATCTGATCTTCCTTGTTCATCAATGATGCTTCCCAGATACGTGAAAGAATCTACATCTTCCACAGTTTCACCATTAATTATTATTGGGTTGTTGTTCTCCATCATTTAATTCAGTAAACAATTAGTCTATGAAAAATTACAAAATAAACTTTTATCAATATTATCATTATTATTTATAACTCACGAGGAATAGGATATGCAAATTTATCCGGTGATGATTGAATTAAACAATTTTTAATATGACGTCGTCCAACACCATGTGCACCAAGTAATACTAATGTTCTATGACGAAATTGTGGTAATCTGACAACTTCTTCGTATGTAACTAAATCTAATTGATCATAAATAGCTGAATGTTTATTTTTGTATTTATCTTTAAAATGACGTTTACGATGTTTAAACCATGCACCACAATGTGTAATACCCATTTCACGCGATAATTCAGCTGCCTTATTTGCCATACGCCATTCTTGAAGTTCTGGACTAGGAATTAAACCCGCTGGTGCTTGACAATCCGAACCCCATAAACGAGCCTGAACCAAATAAAAAAGAAACGGTGTTTATGTGTAGATATAATTTAAAAGATAATAATAAACATTCCGAAGATTATCCAACATGGATCTTAAGAGGGGATTGTAAAAAAATCCATAACTTAATGCAGGAGTAACTCATAAATTTTGAACACGTTACCCCAAAGAAATTTACGTGCAAAATCAAAATGTACAACTTTTCATTTTTCTTCTATAATTCTAATCCTTTTTCTCAACAACAATTAAATGTGTACGATGGTAGTACTTGTCTTATCTTATAACGTCACAAATCACGAAAGGTTTTGAATGAGATTTCTGTAGACTATGACTTACGTTTTGTACTTGTTGGGATTTATTTACGAACTACACACAAAGAATTGAGAAGTAATTTGAACGTTCAAAAATGCATTCATTAGAAACTTTTTTCTCAAACATTTCACCACTATGTTATACAAAGTTGAAGAGTTTAAATTCAATAGACAATTTGGACACTATTCACAATCGAACACAATAGGATGATTATTCTCAACGACAATATCAAATGAACTGAATAATCAATGTGGGCGAATGAAATTAAGTTACAATGTTTATACAAGAAATATGATTATCTAAAAAAGCTTTCAAAATTTTAACTGATCCGATTTTGTAAACTACTCGACAATCAATACAATGTAGTAGTAGAGAGTCTCTGTAACTTGGCTTAGTAGCTCCATATTGAACATTTTAATTAATAAAACCAAATGATATGATAGACATTATTATTATTTGATTTTTCATTGGTATACATTCCCATAAATACTTACTAATTGATAAGTACGTGATCGTTGTACATGATTGGCTGGAAGAACTATCTTGCTACATATACAATCCACTCATTTCCGTCTGTAATAATGTCTGAGAACATTTGTCTATATCTTTCTTATTGATTGTAATTTTCCTCGCTCTTCACGTGTATTGTTCATTTTTTTGTCGACAATATGAATGCATATTTCGTTTCCTCTTTCGGTTTATTCGCAATTATTATGTATGATTTATAAAGTATGGCCAAGTCTTGTATGTTGCTAGGGTTCGGACTATTGTTTCACTCTAGTTTCACCTAACAGTCTTAAAAATTCTGGCTACAATTTTACTGAGAACCATGCATTTCTATCAAATCTATCCGATTGGTTGCGTTTTCCTATTCTTGTCAAAAGAAAATTGTGTTGTCTTATTTATGGGGAATAAGCATTACTTAATAGAGCAACTGCTTGTTATTCGAAACATGTTAATATTATCTCTCTTCAGGCAAAATCTTGTTTTGATTTTCAAGAAACCCATTTTCTTCTTATCAAATTAACACGTATGCAGTTGTTTTACCTTCTGACTTTTGTTGTCAGTGAAAACACCATTCAGTACGAAAACCAATGCCACTTTTGTACGATTTTATATCAGAAATAATGGTCAATCTCTGCTTTTAAATACTTGAGCTGGAATTCACGACTGATTAATTCTTTGAACTTAACTGTCGAGTTTATGGCGGCTTCCGAGTTTAACACTGTGTATAAATTAACCTAATAGAACAGATTCTAATTTTGTTAGTTCGTTTTCTAAACTCAAGACCAAACGATGAATTTCAGTCAATACACTGATAAAAATGTATTTTTAGGTTGTTGGTGCGAGGCTTGCATCACATGCATTTTTCTTCCACATATATTTCATTCATACCAGACAGGGTTTCTGATTTAACATACGGATTTTAAATTATACTTACCGAAACAATTCGACTTTTTAGGTTCATCCACCACGTTTATATGATTCATACAAAATGATACGTAAATTTATGACGTCAAACGATATAAGCACATTTATCTTTGTTGCCATAATAGTGGACCTAATCGCAAAATTGTAGATTTATCATGATGGGCCTACATAATCTTTAAGATCTTATATGGAAGTCATATTATTGTCTGCATCAAATAATCCCATCATAACGTTCAGCAATATGACGTTCAGTACTTCCGGGGAACACATTTGAGCTGTGGAGAAAGTAATTTATTGAATACAAAAAGTAAAAGGTTGTAAAGTGTGGCCACCCTTTTATGACTAAAACATGTCATTTCAATCAATCATTTCTGAGTTCACTATCTCTGATCATCTCTCCGTGTTAAATGTTGAATGTGAAGCTTCTCGATAATCATACGTTCACCTTCTAGGATCATGTGTTGATGAACCGAGCAAATTACTTGGGTATGCTATACAACGATAGAACCTGAAATTCATTTCCAATGTCAAAGCAATTTTAGCTAGTTGAGCAAGTATCTTTGTATAATGTTTCGAGTTATTTGAATTATGGTACGAACTAAGAGTCCCAGAAACAAAGCAATTGAATCAAGAAGTACTAGATAAGCAGGAACGAGTGTACTGTATTTAGAATTCGAAACCAAGAGTTCAACAAGTACAAAGAAATCATCAGTTCATTCAAACACCACATCCGCTACAGCTTAATTTAGAGTCTACGTGTCTGTGACCGATTGTACGTCTTCTTAAGTTCATCCTGTGTCTGTCCGACAATGCATTGGATAAAAACTCGGTATTATCTAGAATGTGCTCATTAGTATTGGAATTGACAACCGAAATCGGAACAGACTCACCTGGAATTGTATACAATTAGCATGTTGGTTTTGTAATGCAATCAATAATATTTAGAATTTCAACCATAGATTTTTCAACACTATCCTCCCCCACGAAATAATGTTGGATCTTTATATCCCCAAGTTATGAATGATGTGGCTTCATTTAAAACATATTTCTCACATTGGTTAGAGTCAACATCAGAAGTGACTTTGCGATAAAGATGAACAGCAGTTGATATGAAATCATCCGAATTGTAATTAAAATCGAGCTCATTTAGTACTTGTGCTTCGGACTGAACAAGTTTCCCACAAGAAACAAATGCATTATGAGGACAAATAATATTTGATAGATCATCACGATTTGATTCTTCTGAATTAGTTTCCTCGCATTTATTAAGAATGTCATTGCAGAGTAAAGGATCATTAGAAAAATTAGCATCTATCAAAACTACATGACCTGTCGTCCAGACATATAATGACTTAGGCGTTTTCGTTAGCCAAGACTTAAAAACTACTGCACACTGCCGTGCAATAGCCGCCAAAAGTTTTAGATCGTTATGGTCAATACGTAGGGCTTTTAGTCATGTCGACGCTAACACGTTTTTGACTTTGTATACAGTGTTCGTTCGTTTTAAACTTGAGTAATGCATACAAGCGGCTAGCCCCTGCTTAAAAAAAGACAGTGAGCTTCTGGAAAAGGTTCAGAAAACGGCGACTAAGCTGGTTCCCGGAATAGCAAAGCTTCCGTATGAATCTCGACTGACCAAGCTGAACCTTTTCCCGTTATCATATCGCAGAACTAGAGGCGACTTGATTACAGTCTACAAATTGCTTAGTGATAAATTTGCACCTAACATGCCCTCATTTTTCTTGTCTTCCAAAACAGAGAATTTACGAGGACACTCCAAAAACGTTCACAAGCCGAGAACAAATTGCTTGTCAGCTGACTATCGACTTTCCCTTCGAATCATCAACGAGTGGAATTCATTACCTCAACACGTGTTTGAGGCTCCATCCGTCGAATCTTTCAAAAGAAAGTTGGATCAACTGAGAGTCCACCATTGCCAGGACTAACATAGGCCATCGAGCCTCCTGTCCTTCCCAAACTGAAACTGAAACTGAAACTGATAATCATGTTCACTCAACATATTTTCTTCAGATTTGTAGGACATTACATCGGAAATATGTGAATCATTAAGAAAAGCCATAATTGGTACAATAACATGAGAAATCTGTTGTTGTCAGTTTTATTTAACTCTGAACTGCCATATGACGCTACACTGTCTTTTGAAATCGTTGATAAAAATAAATGATCATTATAAATACTCGACTTAGTAGAATCAGAATTACAAGACTTAATATTAGTTGCAGCAAGATGGGAACGGTTTAAACGTTAGATCCTTTCGAATGTGCCCGGTTTTTCGTCTCAACGACCTTGAACGGCCTGACTACAGGCGGTCATTCCGTATTTCAATTGCCGTGGGTTGGTTGGATTGCATGAGTATCAAGTTTTTCTCATGTATAAGTCATCTAATGCTGCATAAAAAAGCACGAAGTCGATACCAAAAGCATTAATTTAGCATTCTCTGTTTTGTAGTGTGAACTTTGGCCCTGTTGTTGCTTTGTAATTTGATCTGTGATCCGAACAACTGTAGTAAAGCTCAACGAAATGTCAAGTCACAGGTAAACCCTAAGTATTTGTAGTATTTCCTTGGGTTATTATTGTTGCAAGGAATAACTTTTTAATTAATGATCTCTGTTTGTAGTGCTTCTGTAGTGAACGAGAACACGGGTGGGGAGAAACAGATGTGTTTAGCACAAAAATTACAGTCCATCTCAATAAAATCTGAATACCATAAAGTCAATCGTCAATTTGCAAAAATATCAATGCATTATATCAAACTGGACTGTTCCCGTTGCAAACACTAATCCATTGTCTCCCATTCGATTGTACATGCGTTTTCTTACAAACTTCATTGTGTTCTCGCTCTACCTTTCTTGATCTTCGCCGTCTTCTGCTGCCGGACTTTACGTTCTTTTAACGCACGTTATATACTACTTATATCAATATAAGTAGCTCACACCACACTTCATGCTCAAGTGATATTTCAGTCGACCTTAGCGATGCATTTTGAAGTATGATAGTGAACAAGCGTTTCGCGTGCTGGGATGACTTTGATAGCACCTTGAAAGAGTTCCAAAAAGTATGAAGTGGTAATTTTATCGTGTAGCGGTAAACAAATCCCTAAACTAAATAGCTCTGTGGGTTTTTGACATTGGATGCTGACCATATGTTTTAGTGAACTCATCTAGCTGAAGGCGCTCGGTCACGCATCCGCACCAGATCACGTGCTGTAACGCTGTGCTCAACATCAACCGCAATCACTAGCCAGATTAGATCAGAGATTCCCGATATATTGGTTATCGCCAAATACACTCTTCCGATCTCCTCGACTCTGTCTTTTGATTTCTCTCGGTGGGAACAAAGCATATTAGAAGGTGTTACTGGTAGAAGCGTTGTCAAACACTGAACACCTGTATCATCCTCATCGGTGATCCCGACGTTCCGACCATGTTCATCTGGATTTAGAAGGACCTTTACCAGATTCAAATGGATACTCTTACCTCTTAACCTGTGTAGATCGTTTCACTCGATGGCCAGAAGCAGTACCTATCAAGGACATCACTGCTGAAACAGTGGCCCGAACCTTCGTCGAACGATGGGTAACAAACTTCGGTTGCCCTTCAACCATCACTACAGACCGCGGACGTCAGTTTGAGTCTGAACTTTTCCGTCGTCTGACCACACTATTAGGAAGCACTCGCTTCCGAACGACCGCCTACCACCCACAAGCAAACGGGTTGGTAGAACGTTTTCACCGACAAATAAAAGCTTCACTATCAGCTGCAAACGTTTCACAGTGGACCAACGCTCTTCTACTCGTCTTACTAGGTATCCGCAATGCAGTAAAAGCTGACATTGGATACACTGCGGCTCAACTCGTTCGTGGAACGACACTTCGACTTCCAGGAGAATTCGTGGATCCTTCATCCTCTTCAATGAACATGGATCTAACCTCCTACACGAACAGGCTTACAAGCGCAATGCGTTCAGTTAAACCTGCTTCCACTCAACCTCAATCAACTGATGTTTTCGTTCAACCTGACTTACGACATAGTACACACGTTTTCGTTCATCGAGACTCGCATCGACGACCTTTCGAATCATCATACGAAGGACCTTTCAAAGTTCTTCAACGCGAACCGAAGTACTATATAATCGATAAGAACGGAACCAACGATAGCATCAGCATCGATCGCCTCAAAGCAGCGTATTTAGAAGGAAATCCTATCTACGTGGATTTTCCTTCGGTACAATTGGACGACACGACTCCGACACTTATAATACCTCATCCGACAACCAACACACACGATGATACTTCGACAGTATCCGAAAATAAACTTTAAACGACGCGTTCTGGAAGAAGAGTGAGATTTCCAGAACATTTAAACGACCATTGCACGTAAGGTACTTCTCGACATTTTCTATATTATTTAAAAAAAATTTTAATATGCTTATATATTTTTATTTCTATTGCAAAAAAAAACAAAAAAATTTTTTTACGCTATTACGTGTTCATGAGTTTATTTTCCTTTTTTTACGCGCATACGAGTGTATTTTCGACATGCACTTACATTTTCTTTCTTCTTTTCCAGGACGGCTGGAAAAGAACGATGACGTTTATGAGGATCCGAAATTTTCATTGTACATTTCTTTTTTTATTATGATGTACCCCGGTCCCATATAGTAAAGAAAGACGACCAGACGCTGCTAAATTTAGTAAGCTATCAGAAGAGTGTTTACCAACGACAAACTCGTTGGGTTTAAACTTCTGGCTGGCCACGTCTTAGGGTCATCACTTCCCCACTAGGGGGGAGTGATCTGTAGCGGTAAACAAATCCCTAAACTAAATAGCTCAGTGGGTTTTTGACATTGGATGCTGACCATATGTTTTAGTGAACTCATCTAGCTGAAGGCGCTCGGTCACGCATCCGCACCAGATCACGTGCTGTAACGCTGTGCTCAACATCAACTGCAATCACTAGCCAGATTAG